AACACGGGGCTGGTAACTGCCCACTCTGGCACTGCCATTCACCTCAGTCACAGGTTATGACCGTGGGAACGGCCCTGTTTGGACGCCTGTGTGAATCACCTCTGCGCACATTTCTCCCATTTCTCCGGAGAGAATGCTACAGAGCAGAGTCACTGCAGCCGGGAGCTGATGTCCTCGGAACTGTGCACACCTCCTTGTCACTCTCAGACACCTCCAGCGTCACAACTGGAGGCTGCCTCTCCAAATCTGCACCCCAGATGTGCAACACCGTGTCAGCACACTGTCCGGAGTTGAAGCACTGCTTCAAAGCTGTGGCGCAGAAGGTGAAGCCCCCGCTGGCCGCGCTGGCATCCCACACGGGCGCCGGTTTGAGTCCCGGCTGCTCCACTTCTGATCCAGCTCCCTGTTAACGTGCCTGGGAAAGCAGCAGAAGATGGTCCAAGCATTTGGGCCCCTGCACCCGCAGAGACCTGGAGGAAGCGCCTGGCTTCAGCCTGGCCCAGCCCTGGCCATTGCTGGCCGTTTGGGGAGCGAACCAGTAGATGGAAGATCGCTTTCTCTCTCTCCCTCTCCTCCTCTCTCTGTATTTCTGCCTCCCAAATAAATAAATAAATAAATAAGTCTTTAGGGAGGAAAAAGCCATGAGGATGTATCCGTGTTTAACGTGCCCGTCATTCCCATTGTCTTGGTCCGCCTGTCTTAACGCACTCCCAGACACTGCAGGTCACCTCGCACTACACTCGGAGCTGTCGCGAATCACGTTCCGGCGAGCTGGTGACGTGCTTCTACTGCTGGACGGCAGAGTCTATTGAACGCTGAGTAGCTAAAGATGTTGACCTTCTCCTTCGTGACATCACCACTGCTTGTGAGTCCTTACCAGCCCCGCCCCCCCCCCCCCCAGCCCCTGAACACATTCCGCATTCACAGAGCTCCTGCGAAGCGGACCTCACTGACGGCAGGCATTTCAGCACAAGGCTGAGTCCATCTGTGACGGAAGCCAGTTCTGCACGTCCAAAGGGGAGCCGGAGGAAAATGAGCTCAGGAAGAGCAAGCATAAAAAAGATGAGCAGACAGCAGCACCTGTGGGGAGAGACCCTGCAGAAGAGCCAGGCAGAGCGGGACACAGGCCAGCACCACGCGGCAGGAGCACGCCTGGAGCACCCAGAGCAGCGCCGTATCTGTGCAGAGGCCCGAAACCAGCGAAAAACGCAAGACGTTCAAAAGGAGAAAAAACAGGAAAGTGTCACCGCACATCAGAAACCAGGCAGAAAACCCCTCTGTTGTCCCTGAGGAGGGGGGCCGCTGGGTCACAGGGCTGTCCTGAGGAGGGGGGACACTGGGTCACAGGGCTGTCCTGAGGGGGGGACGCTGGGTCACAGGGCTGTCCTGAGGAGGGGGGCCGCTGGGTCACAGGGCTGTCCTGAGGAGGGGGGGCCGCTGGGTCACAGGGCTGCCCCTGGAGGGGGGGGACGCTGGGTCACAGGGCTGTCCCTTTAGCAGGCAGGGACACTGGGTCACAGGGCTGTCCCTGAGTGGGGGGGGTGGACGCTGGGCACAGTGCTGTCCCTTTAGCAGGCAGGGACACTGGGTCACAGGGCTATCCCTGAGTGGGGGGGGGGGTGGACGCTGGGTCACAGGGCTGTCCCTGAGTGGGGGGGGTGGACGCTGGGCCACAGGGCTGTCCTGAGGGGGGACGCTGGGTCACAGGGCTGTCCATGAGAAGGGGGGGACACTGGGTCACAGGGCTGTCCCTTTAGCAGGCAGGGACACTGGGTCACAGGGCTATCCCTGAGTGGGGGGGGGTGGACGCTGGGCACAGGGCTGTCCCTGAGGTGGGGGGGGGGGGGACACTGGGCTCAGGCCAGGCTTCAGGGCAGCTGTGCACAGTGTGCCCTAAGAGCCACAGGTGCCAGGCTTCAAAGGTAGGTGAGGTGAAGAGAGCGACTCAGATACAGCCTGCATTCACTACGAAAGGAATCTAAGGACATTCTAAATAGAGAAACACAGTAACTGCAATGGGAAATTCACCAGAGAAGCCCAGTGGCAGATCAGAAGAGTCAGCAATGTGAACAAAATTAACAGCAATTCTCGAATCTGAGGAATGGGAAGACAGATGCACGGTGGACTGGGCTGTTCTCACCCCAGACACAACAGTCCCAGGAGGCCACAGGAGACAGCAGACAGCAAACGCCCACCACGGTAAGTGGTTGAGACTCACTGCTTGCTGCCCGGATGCTTCGTCTGTCCTGCCTGTTAACAACAGTAAAAGGCTCACACGCACCCACACGCACTGTGTGCCCTAGTTTCCTAACTCCAAACTGTGGGTCCTTGACCCACAAATCCTGCCCATGCTGATCCCACGTCACGACTTACCATCACTCACAGAACTTCCCTAAGGAGACCCGTGCACGCCAGCACACACGGAACCTTCCCTAACGAGCCCCGTGCACGCCAGCACACACGGAACCTTCCCTAACGAGCCCCGTGCACGCCAGCACACACGGAACCTTCCCTAACGAGACCCGTGCACGCCAGCACACACGGAACCTTCCCTAACGAGACCCGTGCACGCCAGCACACACGGAACCTCCCTAACGAGACCCGTGCACGCCTTCATACACGGAACCTCCCTAACGAGACCCGTGCACACCAGCACACACGGAACCTCCCTAACGAGCCCCGTGCACGCCAGCACACACGGAACCTTCCCTAACGAGACCCGTGCACGCCAGCACACCTATTTTCTCTACCATCAAATGCGAATTATACACCAAGAGACGACTCTCTGAACTCTGTGACGACTACAGTCTACCTCACCCTGTGCACTGAAGCAGCTTCATACACACAGAATTCAGAAGCGACGCTGAGGTCACAGCGTCCTCCATTCTGACTGCAACGTGTTCTGTGTACGGACCCCAGAGGACTGGACAGAGACCAAGCACGCAATGCAGAGACAGCGCCCCAGCACGCCCAGAGGCATGGCGCCCCAGACTTGCCTAGAGGCAGGGCGCCCCAGCACGCCCAGAGGCACGGCGCCCCAGCACGCCCAGAGGCATGGTGCCCCAGCACGCCTAGAGGCACGGCGCCCCAGACTTGCCTAGAGGCAGGGCGCCCCAGCACGCCCAGAGGCACGGCGCCCCAGCACGCCTAGAGGCAGGGCGCCCCAGCACGCCCAGAGGCAGGGCGCCCCAGCACGCCTAGAGGCACGGCGCCCCAGACTTGCCTAGAGGCAGGGCGCCCCAGCACGCCTAGAGGCACGGCGCCCCAGCACGCCTAGAGGCACGGCGCCCCAGACTTGCCTAGAGGCAAGGCGCCCCAGCACGCCTAGAGGCACGGCGCCCCAGCACGCCCAGAGGCAGGGCACCCCAGCACGCCTAGAGGCAGGGCGCCCCAGCACGCCCAGAGGCATGGCGCCCCAGACTTGCCTAGAGGCAGGGCGCCCCAGCACGCCCAGAGGCACGGCGCCCCAGCACGCCCAGAGGCACGGTGCCTCTCAGAGACCCCAGAGCCACAGTCAGCACCCACTCGGAAGCTGCTGCTCGTGTCTTCTGAGCCCGCGACACAGACGACTCGCTCTCCAGGCCATGGCTGCGCACACACGACGCCTTCCCGAGAGAAGCGGTGACACACAGAAGGCACGAGGCACAGGCACACATCCACGTTACATTCTGAAAGGCAAGGCAGTTAGCACAGCCACGTCCCCGCAGCAAACGCTCAGCAAAGGAACGGCGGAGACATAGCCCGCCAGAGCGCCCTCGGAGAGGCAGCAGGCCCCGCAGTGTCGCCGCGACTGTTGTGCAGGCTGACGGAGGTGAGGTCCAGCAGACCGGTGACCTGAGACAGAAGCAGAAGGGAAGCAGCAGGTGGGCCTCACAGGACAGGCTCGGGAGGAGAAGGGTCTGGCTGGGTGACAGTGAAAGGGAGGCGAGACACCTACCTAGCCCGCACGCTCCACTGGGGGGCGAGCAACGAGGCCAGTCACAGACAGGCAGAGGTGACGGACAGCAGCGGTGCCCACACGCCAGCAAGCTCAGCAAAGGCGGGGCTTCCACCGCGTGCTCACTGCCCCGTGACACCAACAAAGCCCCGTGGACTGAGCAGATCCCCCGAGGCCAGCCTGCGCTGCACCAAGACCTGGGCAAGGCGAGCGCAGGCTCAGGAGGAGGCCGTCCCTGCAGACCACAGCCTGGACTGCGGCATCGAGGCAGAACTCAGCTCAGCCTGGTGCATTTCACCACCGCCCAGCAGAGGTGGGGACGGTGCAGCACCCTGACAGAAGCGGGGTCACCAAGAACACTGGCCAGCTGCCACCTCCCACCGAAGACCCGAGGATCCCCCAGCTTCCTGTTTACAGCTCCTGACCGTGGAAACAGAAAGGACTGGGAGGGAAGCGGTAACAAAATTCCAATCACCCATGCTCAGAAAGTCCGTGTCACTTCAAGCTCATCTCAACAGAGAGTATTTTCCGTTTCTGTAGCGTGTGCAATCACGCGGCGACCACAAACATCGACATCACACAGATTTAATAGTACTGTTACTGCTCGAGCTCACTGACTGACATCGAGTTACAAAACACAGTCTGGAGCACGCGCACGTCTGGACAGCCTAGATCCCACACCTCGGGACACACACGTCCATCCTGCCTCCAGCCGGGCCTGGCCTTCGCTGCGACGGGCAGCTGGGAACGAATCAGCGGCTGCAAGGTCTCTGTCCCTGTGTGTGTGTGCGCGCGCATCACATAAATAATTTGAGCAATAAAAGCACATTTTTGGTGGCTTGCAATGGTTAAGGGGAAATAATCATAATACTGTGATATATAAACAATATTAAAACACAAATGCAACATTATAAAATACAGATTAGAAGGGATATACCGCAACACCCAGAGGTCTTATCAGTGTGGCAGGTCCCGAGTGCTACGCCACCACCACCCCGCCCCCGCCCCGCACGCTCCAGCCGGCTTCCCTGCATGCTGCCCTGTGCGTCCCGCACACACTCACCACGTTGTAATAGCTCTTGCTGATGGCGGCTGTGTCGAATCCTTTGGGGGGGCTCTTCAGCGCTCCTGACTTGGGAGACACAGGCTTCTCTGAAACGGAAATGGAATTTGCTCATCGGTACTGGACAGGACACGCACTCCAGGCCTCACGCCGCCAAGGCCCCTCAGCCAGCCGCCTCGGCTCAAACGCCCCACGGAAAAGGAAAGCCCGGCAACCAGTGGAGTGCCTCGGACCACGCGTCTCTGTCACCGCACAGCCTCACCCACCCTGGCCCCCCATGTGGGGTGGACTCCACAAATGGCCATCAGAAACGGAAGCTACACACAGAACTTCAGTGAGCAAACGTGAAACACTGCCCAAGCAGGGCTGGAGACGGAGGGGGCTGGCAGAGGCCGCAGTGCCGAGCACCCAGACCCGGGCCACTCTCACAGCGGAGCGCCAGGAAGCAGAAGGAAAGTCACGGGGGGGCGGGGGGGACACAAAAGGCCACAGGGAGCAAGTGCAGCGGCCCGAACACAGCAGGGGCTCCAATGTGGGAAACGGCCCAGCTGGCGCAGGCACCGTGGCGCAGGGGGCTTAGCCGCATCCCCTATCGGAGTGCCGGTTCAAGTGGAGGCTACTCTGCTTCTGATGCAGCTTCCTGCCAACGCACTCTGGGAGACAGCAGATGGTGGTTCAAGTACATGGTCCCTGCCACCCAGGTGGACGGCCCGGACGGAGCTCTGAGCACCTGGCTTTGGCCTGGCCCACCTGTCTGCTATGGAATCCATGGGCAGAAGATTTCTCTCCCTCACTCTTTTACTCTGCCTTTTGTGTAAGTAAAAAATAAAACATTTAATAAACCAACATGGCACTCTTCATGCAGCATCTAACGGACAGCAAAATGGATACCAGAAAAGCATTTGTTGAATAAAAACACGGCTCTTGGTGTATGTGTCTGTGTGTCACTGGTTCTACAGGGTGTCCCTCAATGTTCTGTAGGCTGTGGGTATCTGTCACTGGTTGTACAGGGTGTGGGTGTCACTGCTTCTATAGGGTGTGGGTGTCACTGGTTCACTGGTTCTACAGGGTGTCTGTCAATGTTCTGTAGGCTGTGGGTATCTGTCACTGGTTGTACAGGGTGTGTGTGTCACTGGTTCACTGGTTCTACAGGGTGTCTATCAATGTTCTGTAGGCTGTGGGTATCTGTCACTGGTTGTACAGGGTGTGGGTGTCACTGGTTGTACAGGGTGTGGGTGTCACTGGTTCTATAGGGTGTGGGTGTCACTGGTTCACTGGTTCTACAGGGTGTCTGTCAATGTTCTGTAGGCTGTGGGTATCTGTCACCGGTTGTACAGGGTGTGTCTGTGTGTCACTGGTTCTGTAGGGTATGTGTATCTATCACTAGTGTTATGGAGGGTGTGCAGCACAAAGCAAAGAAAAACTCAAATGCCCCCAATACAGCTCCCAGCCTGTAAGCCTGGATGTGCCGCCTGCGGAGTAGCTGGTGTCAAGTCTTCCTTTAATGCTTCGCTATCAGGCGTCTCCAGATGGTTGAAAGGTAAGGAGACCCAGAAGGTGTTATACCTGGCTAGGACACTCTCCCCACAGGACAGAAAACAAAACTCGGTGCAAACAGCTAATTCTGAAACAGAAGAAACACAAGGAAGAAAAACCACCTATTCTTTCTAACACCTTTCATCCTCAACCCCAGATCTGCAGGTAAGAATTAGCTGTGGAAGAAGTAAGACAAAGTTTTCTGAAAGGAAATTCTGGCCACCACATCCTACAAAAGGAAGCGGCAGGCAAGGGAAATCTAGACAAATCCGGCTAAGCCCAGCCAAGCCACCTACTTCCCTTAGCAAGAACGAGGTCCTGACTGCTGGGGAGCAACACAGGGACCCCGCGAGGGGAGGGGCGCCCGCCTGCCACCCTGCCCCGCACACCTCCTCCTGTGCAGCAGGCTCATCACCAGTGCACGCGTTCCAGGCACAGAGTGCCTGGGAGACAACATCGTAACCACGACGCGGCAAGCAGCAGAGCCAGGTAGCTCCTGGGAAGCCTTAGGGACCCTTGTAGAACCTTCTGGAAAAAAAAAGCACTAAAGGGCAAGTAAGAGAGGCAAAGTCATGGCCACTCATGACAAAGAAAATGGATTAGAAAACGTCAACTTTAGGGGCTGGCACTGTGGCGCAGCGGGTTAAACAGTGCCTGCAATGCTGGCATCCCTTAGGGGCGCCAGTTCGAGTCTTGGTTACCCCACTTCAATCCAGCTCCCTGCTAACGCGCCTGGGAAAGCAGCGGAAAATGGGCCAAGTGCTTGGGCTCCTCCACGTGGGAAACCTGGAAGAAGCTCCTGGCTCCTGGCTTGGGTCTGGCCCAGCTCCAGTCATTGTGGCCATTTGGGGAGAGAACAAGCAGATGCAAGATTTCCCTCTCTCTCTAACTTTGCATTTCAAATAGAATAAATCTTTAAAGAAAAAGAGGGAAAACTTCAAGTTCAATAGTACCCTAATAAAAACATACTTCGGCCAGTCAAATAGCCAAAAAATAGTGCAATTCACTGGACTGGGTGTGGGAGTCAGTGATCACCAACACAAGGCAGAGCTACCTCCCCAGGGACTCACTGACCCGGGCAGCACTTCCCTTTCTCGTAACGATCCAAGATGCTGAGGACAACAGAACTCAAACACAGATGCGCGGGAGGAGAGGCGAGGGAGTGCCGGGACCCCAGAGCAAGCTGCAGACACTGCCAATGGCGACGGGGGGACAGCATCCCGGCCCAGGGGCCGCCTGGGGCAACAGACGCACAGCCCTCCGCCCCCCTGGGAAGATGGACGAGGAGCTGGTGACCTTGCACGGCCCATGAGGGGAAGCCCAGAAGCTTCCTCCCCGGGAACAGAGAAGCAGGAAGGAAGGTGTGGCACCCAGGGAGGGGACACAGCCTGGAAGAAGCCACACCTGAGCCGCAGCCGCTCACCTCCTGCAGGGGCTCCAGGGCTTACCCAGGACTACAGCAGTCTGCAGGGGCCCCAGAGGACGCCAGTGCTACCCTACCTGCACGGCAGGAGAGCTTGCACAGGCCAGGGCTAGGGCATGTGCCCCACAGCTGCTGAAACCCTGGCAAGGAACAAGCCACGGAGGAGGAGGCGGGGGCGTGCGAGCAGAGGCACTGCCTCGGGACGCAGCGCCAAAACAGAGAAGTCGAGGGCTCCCACGGGACCTCGCCAACAGGCAAAAAATGACGGGAAAGGTGAGACAGAGACCACAGCGGCCACGGAAAGTCAGTCCCAACGGACAGGTGAGACAGCACGTGAGAGGAGGGAACTGTGCCGTGAGACCCCCAGGCTCGAGGAGTGCTCACACTTCAGAGTCCAGTGAAGCAAGCGCGTGGCAACTGGACTCGCAGCCACAGAGGGCAGGGCCACACATCCGGCGAGAGTCCCACGGCAGGGGAGGGTGAGGGGAGCAGCCAGGCGCGAAGGGCGGAGCCCCTGCCTGGCCAGGCAGCTCCCTGGGACGGGAGCCCTGCATGGCCACACGGTCTCCTCTTTCATGACTGCTCTTGCCCAGCCACTGCTCCCTGCTGGGCAGCCCTTCCACACAGACCCCAGAGGACGCCACCGTGCGTGCCTCCAGGCTGCTCGCCCCTGGCGGACGGCGGGACAGTTACAGCCACTCGCTCCACCCTGCCTGCTTCACGCATAGGGGGTGCCTTTGTGGAGTCCAGTCACCAGTCCCTCTGCTGGCCGGCCGGTTTCCTGAATGCCACGCCCCTTTCCCGCGAGGTCCCGGTGGCCTTGTCACGCATGCCCCTAGGTCTCTAAGTGATGACCTGCTGGCAGTAACTCCCAACCTTTCTCTGAAAATGCTGTCCCTGTGCCTCCATCTTCCCTCCCTTTAGCATGCGAATGGACAACTGCACACTAACGCAGACACCACACACACTCTCCCAGGCTGAGCTCCCGTCACCACGGCCCTCCGGCACCTTCCCGGCCATGCTACACGGGAACTCCCACCCACCGCGCACCGCGATGCACCTGGCCACCATCACAGAACGTACCCACCGCACACCGCGATGCACCAGGCCACCGTCACAGAACGTACCCACCGCACACCGCGATGCACCAGGCCACCGTCACAGAATGTACCCATCGCACACCGTGATGCACCTGGCCACCGTCACAGAATGTGCCCATCGCGACGCACCTGGCCACCGTCACAGAACGCGCCCACCGCACACCGCGACGCACCTGGCCACCGTCACAGAACGCGCCCACCGCGCACCGCGATGCACCTGGCCATCATCACAGAACGCGCCCACCGCACACCGCGACGCACCTGGCCACCATCACAGAATGTGCCCACCGCGCACCGTGATGCACCTGGCCACCGTCACAGAATGCGCCCACCGCACACCGCGACGCACCTGGCCACCGTCAGAACGCACCCACCGCGCACCGTGACGCACCATGAAGGCAGCCCGTGAGCGAGTGCAAGCGTGGGATGTTAACCCGCAGGAATACTTCTTCCACGTTCCAACAGACTCCGAACCACCCATCGGGACCACTCTGTGCCTAATGCTGAGTGCCCAACCACGCCTGGTGGGCTTTCTGCCCCGAATTACGTCCTTGCCACCCACCAGGAAGTCTGCTCTCTAAGGAACAGCGCTGAGACCCGGCCACACGCGGACTCAGCCTCACGGACACTCCTTCCCCAGCGGCCTGCACAGCCAGAGGGCCTGGCTGCTTCTCGCCTCCTCGCGTCTCCCTTGAGCTCAGGAAATGCGGTAACCATCACACAACACTGCTCACTCACAACACGTCTACACCCTGTACAGACTGCTCACTCACAGCACGTCTCTACACCCTGCACACACACTGACACTGCTCACTCACAACACTTCTACACCCTGTGCACACTGACACTGTTCACTCACATGTCTACATCTGTACACACACTGCTCACATGTCCACACTTGTACATACTTACACTGTTCACTCACAACACGTCTACACCCTGTAGAGAGACTGCTCACTCACAGCACGTCTACACCTTGCACACAGACACTGTTCACTCACAGCACTTCTACACCCTGTGCACACTGACACTGTTCACTCACATGTCTACACCTGTACACACACTGCTCACTCACAACACGTCTACACCGGTACACACACACTTTACTCACAACACGTCTATACCTGTACACACACTGCTCACTCACAACATGTCTACACCGGTACACACACACTGCTCACTCACAACACGTCTACACTTGTACACACACTGCTCACAACATGTCTACACCAGTACACACACTCACACTGTTCACTCACAACACGTCTACACCCTGCACACACTGACACTGCTCACTCACAACATGTCTACACCTGTACACACACTGCTCACTCACAACACGTCTACACCAGTACACACACTCACACTGTTCACTCACAACACGTCTACACTCTGCACACACATACTGACACTGCTCACTCACAACATGTCTACACCTGTACACACACTGCTCACTCACAACACGTCTACACTGGTACACACACACTTTACTCACAACACGTCTACACCCTGCACACACTGACACTGCTCACTCACAACACATCTACACCGGTACACACTGACACTGCTCACTCACAACACGTCTACACCAGTACACACACTCACACTGTTCACTCACAACACGTCTACACCCTGCACACACACTGCTCACTCACAACACGTCTACACCGGTACACACACACTGCTCACTCACAACACGTCTACACCAGTACACACACTCACACTGTTCACTCACAACACGTCTACACCCTGCACACACTGACACTGCTCACTCACAACATGTGTACACCTGTACACACACTGCTCACTCACAACACGTCTACACCGGTACACACACACTGCTCACTCACAACACGTCTACACCTGTACACACACTCACACTGTTCACTCACAACATGTCTACACCCTGCACACACACTGCTCACTCACATGTCTACACCTGTACACACACTGCTCACTAACACATCTACACCTGTACACACGTACACTGCTCACTCACAACACGTCTACACCTGTACACACCCTGTACACCAACAAGGAAGAACCCCCGGGCTTCACAGAGTAGCAGGGATGCACTCACAGGAGGCTGTGCACGCTCAGAACAGCAGGCTGGTATCAGATACACGCCAGTAGCAGAGACTCCCGGAGACACCAGAGACTCCCGGAGACACCGGCCCCCAGGAGGTGCCACCTCAGACAGGAAACCACGTCAGGAGGGAGCGTGCCCACAGCACTCTCACCTCCCCTCTAACCACGGACGGCGCCCAGGGCCCAGGCAAGCAGAGGGAGCACCTGGGCCACCTGGAGACGAGCAGCCCAAAACCACTGCCATCATAGATTGCAGCCTGTCCCTCCCACAGCGTCGCCATCATGGATCGCAGCCTGTCCCGCCCACAGCGTCACCATCATGGATCGCAGCCTGTCCCGCCCACAGCGTCGCCATCATGGATCGCAGCCTGTCCCGCCCACAGCGTCGCCATCATGGATCGCAGCCTGTCCCGCCCACAGCGTCTGTAAACCAAACCAATCACAATGAAATGCAGAAGAGAAACCCTCCACTGGAGCTCCCAGTGTTCTCACTTCACAAGGCCGTCAACCTGCCGTGACCGCCGTCAGGAGCCATATATTTTGAACCTGGCACCACGTTTCGTTTTTGAAAACTCAGCACTATTTAGACTGCACGTTACAGTCCAACATCAGTCAAACATACTCGTCAGAACAGGAAAGCTGCTCCAAGGGAGACGGCCACACGCTGCACACGGTCTGACACGGACGTCACCGTGACCCTCAACTTCCACCCTCGACTGCTGCAGAGGAAATCCACACAGCACGCCCTTCACGCCTGACCCAGCACCCAGGTCCACCGCGCTCAGGTAGCTGCAGAACGGCCACTCCCCAGAGGCCACTCCCCGGGCTGCGCTGCCGGATAAAGCACCTGTAGAGCGGCACGCTACCAACAGGCGGAAAATGCACCCACTGAACCAGGGGCTCCCCGGCCCAAGCTGCCGGTCGCAGGGTCGGTGTGGCCCCTGCAGAGTACTCTCGGCTCACAACACGTCTACACCTGTACACACTACACTGCTCACATCACGTCCACACCTGTACACACTACACTGCTCACAACACGTCTACACCTGTACACACTACACTACTCCCATCACGTCTACACCTGTACATGCTCACATCACGTCTACACCTGTACACACTACACTGCTCGTTCACAACACATCTATACCTGTACACACTACACTGCTCACAACACGTCTACACCCATACACACTACACTACTCATATCATGTCTACATCCGTACACACTACACTGCTCACATCACGTCCACACCTGTACACACTACACTGCTCACAACACATCTACACCCATACACACTCACAACACGTCTACACCTGTACACACTACACTGCTCACAACACGTCTACACCTGTACACACTACACTACTCACATCACGTCTACACCTGTACATGCTCATAACACGTCTACACCTGTACACACTACACTGCTCGTTCACAACACATCTATACCTGTACACACTACACTGCTCACAACACATCTACACCCATACACACTACACTACTCATATCATGTCTACATCCGTACACACTACACTGCTCACTCACAACACGTCTACACCTGTACACACTACACTACTCACATCACGTCTACACCTGTACATGCTCATAACACGTCTACACCTGTACACACTACACTACTCACATCACGTCTACACCTGTACATGCTCACAACACGTCTACACCCATACACACTACACTACTCACATCATGTCTACATCCGTACACACTACACTGCTCACTCACAACACGTCTACACCTGTACACACTTACACTGATCATTCACATCTACACCTGTACACACACTTATACTGTTCATTCAACACGTCTACACCAGTACACACAGTACACACATACACTGTTCACTCACAACACGTCTACACCCTGTAGACAACACACACAGCCCTCAGATACAGAGCACAGCCAAGTGCATTTCAGGTTTGTTTCAGACGCTGGCCCTGAAAAAGAACATCATGGCACACACCTGTCGGCAGGACAGCACAGGTAACAGGTCTGAGACGCCTTCTCGACTGTGGGAAACGTCGCCAAGGCAGACGAGGCTCGTTCAGACTGGAGAGCCAGTGTGGGGTTGGGCAAAACTCCAGTCTCCCCTATGACCCGGGTCTCCCACATCAAGTCCCGCTGGGACCCCCCCCGCCCACTGCTCCCCTCCCACCAGAACAGCGCGGGCAGGGCCGCCACCGCTTACCGCTGGGCTTGATCTCGCGCACATAGTTGCTGGGGAACCAGCCCGTCCTGCCGTTGTGCGTGCCCTCCCACCAGCCTCCTTCTTCCACACGCGTGACATGGATGACGTCCCCCTTTGAAAAGGACAGTTCATCCTCGTTGGTCTGCTGGAAATTGAACTTCGCCCGGACGATCAGCTGACTGTTGCTGTTATCCGTCATGTCCTTAAAAACAGGGGAACAGCAGAGAAACCACACGGTGTCATCCACTTCCGTATAAAACACTTCGTGCGACTGTTAGAAACTCTCCAACACCCAGCAGGAGGAAAATGAAGACGGGTCAGAAGCTTTCCCTCCCCCCAGCCCAGCCCCCAGAGAAACGCTCTCAGTGGCCGGGAAAGGTCTTACTCTGCGCCACTGGCCCTGCCGCACACGTCCACACACACACACTCAGACACACCCAGGATCATGCTCATTACGATGTACCAAAGCGTCAACGTGCTGCGGTTATCTCTCTAACATTACTTACAATACCACGCTCTGTGCCTGCAGCACGACTCGGCTCTACACTATTGGATTGTCTGGTTATTTTCAGTATTTTTCTGTGCACTGTAGACGTGTTTCTCATGTTTCGCGAACCAGGGCTGCATTAAAAGCACGCAAGCGCCTACCCGAGTGTGGCCGTGAGCAAGCCTGCACCTTGCGTCCAACTCAGAGCACACAAGGACCACACCAGCAGCCTCCCCACCAACAAGCCGTGCGTGCACAGACCCCAGCCAACGGGGGGCCCGAGGGCCTTGGGGGACACTGCACCACAGGCACAGCACAGCATCTGCACTGGGCTAGCTATCAGGGACTTGAGCGTCCACGGATGTCATGTCTGCAGGGGTCCCGAGGGAGCACGTCCCTGTTTCTAAGCTGTCCCCCCCACCAGGGAGACCCCCCACCGACAGCACCTAACAGGCCTCGCTTCCCCGAACGCACACCAGCTCTGGCAACTGCCATTCTGTCTCTGCCTACTGCTGACCTGCATCCCTCTCAGGGAGCACACACCGCCCTCGCTCGCAGAGGGGCAGCAGCACCTCCCTCACTCGCAGAGGGGGCAGCAGCACCTCCCTCACTCGCAGAGGGGCAGCAGCACCTCCCTCGCTCGCAGAGGGGCAGCACGCACCGCCCTCGCTCGCAGAGGGGGCAGCAGCACCTCCCTCACTCGCAGAGGGGCAGCAGCACCTCCCTCGCTCGCAGAGGGGCAGCAGCACCGCCCTCGCTCGCAGAGGGGCAGCACGCACCGCCCTCGCTCGCAGAGGGGCAGCACGCACCGCCCTCGCTTGCAGAGGGGGCAGCAGAAGGGGCTCTGCAGAGGCTGGGGGCTGAAACGGCCAGTGGAAGCAGACAAACCATCCCAAGAGCAGCCCCTCGCTGGCCAAAGGAGCAGGAAAGGGGCCGCCAAGCAGGCCCCGGTGGGGCTCGAGTCCCAGTCCTCCTCACCCATGCAAAGCCCTTCACGGCACTGGCAGGAACCATGCATCTCGTCCCCACCCCGACCACTGACAGCAGGTGTCAACAGGGACCAGGACACCAGCAAATCAGGCAGGGAGTGCCAGCCACCACCCCACCACCAGGCGGCAGCAGAGCCCTATCTGCCCACACAGCCAGCACCTAGCCCTCTACCACCTGGGGGGGGGGGTGGGGGGGCTGAGGCGCAGGCCCAGCACAGCTCCACTCTCCAGCGCCAGCTACTCGAGGCCCACAGAAGCCCCTGCCCACCAGCAGGGGAAGGGCTCGGGAGAGGAAGCTGTCTCCAGAGCCGCCCAGAAGGCCAGGACCACTGCACACACCACCCGGGTGGTGGTCTGCTGGCAGAGCAGAGGGAAACGGGACCCAGCACCCCCGCTGCTCTCTCCCAAGGGGCTGCCAGACACTGGGAACAGCCAGAGAAGCAGACCTGGAATGAGAAGATGGGCGGCCGCTGGGGTCGGGGAGAGGGTTCCGGCAGCCAGTGCAAAGGGATCAGGAAGCGATCTCAATCCTGCCCAGCCCCCCCCCCAGTCCTCCCCCAGTCCTCCCCAGGTCCTCCCACGTCCTCCCAGGTCCCCTCAGATCCCCCCCAGCTGCTCCCCAAATCCCCCCCAGGTCCTCCTCTAAGTCCTCCCCAGGTCCCCCCCCCCAGTTCTCCCCCAGGTCCTCCCCAGGTCCCCTCCAGGTCCCTCCCAGATCTTCCCCCAAGTCTTCCCCCAGGTCCTCCCCAGTCCCCCCAAGTCCTCCTCAAGTCCCCCCAGGTCCTCCCAGGGTCCCCTTAGGTCCCCTCATCCCCCTATCCTCCCCTCAAGTCCCCCCAGTTCCTCCCAGGATCCCCTTGTCCCCCCAGGTCCCCCCCATCCTCCCCCTCAGATCCTCCCCAGGTCCTCCTAACACAGAGGACAGCGGTGAACGGCGCGGCTCCGGGCACTGGGGGAGTAATGGGTCAGCTCTGACTTCTCATCTCAGGAGCAGGCTCAAGAGACACGGCAGAAAATCCCAAATTTGGCGAAAGACATAAACACTCAGGAACCTGAGTGAACCCCAAACAGCATAAACCTAAAGCCACAGCATAACAGACGTCTGAACCCTGAGGACGAACAGGTCTTACTATGAGGACGAAAAGCCACCCACAGACGCGGATCTGAACCATCCACCGCCCCGGCGTCCTTCCTCACTGCGCAGGGATCCCCGTGACGGGCATCTCGGGGAGGAGGAAGCACATGCAGCACGGGGGGACGTGCCCAGCAAGGCGCAAGCAGGCCCGCCTCCAGAGAGCCCTGGGCAGCAGTGGACGTAGACACTCACCTGGACACGGAGAGATCCTCAGCTAACCTGAGCATCACCAACCCCACAAAGCACAAGGGTCCGAGGGAGGGACAAGACTGCATGGCTATTCGCTGGGTCCTGGCACAACCTCCTCCTGCATCCAACCGCAGCCAGAGGGAGACGGCGCTGGGGGTGTCCTGAGAGTAGGGGGCGCAGGGGCGCACGGGGGAGCCCTCGCACACGGACATTACCCAGAGGGGCGTCTTATTTAGAGACAAACAGGCGGATACCGAAGAACCAGCAGAAAAGGCTCCAAGTGGCCGTGGCTCCTGTTCTCTTGTTCCTGAAAGCAAGTCTCAGAGAACTCGCTGGAGTTTTAAACCAGGCACACGTGCCCATCACTACATCACAGACTAGGAAAGACTCCACTCAGCTCCGACGGGAGAGGCTCAGAAGACACCCAGCCGACGGCATCACGCCACGGCATCCCTGTCTGAACGGCGGGTAGAAGGGCCCGTTGCAAATGCCTAACAATTCAGGAGTAACATAGCACCAAGTGGAAGGTCTGATGCAGGTCTAGCCAGCACAGAGCTCAGAGCGGCAGCCGGCAGAGTCCGCTCAGACGCAGGCCCCGGCCGGTGGATAAAGCCCACCCACGGGAGGCTCAGGCCTGCCCCTCCACTGCCCACCTGACCCTGGCTCTGCAGAAGACACTCCCAGGGGCCTGCGCTGTGGCACAGCAGGGGAAGCCACTGCCTGCAACACTGCCATCCCCTATGGCACCGGTTCGAGTCCCGGCTGCTCCACTTCTGATCCAGCTCCCTGCGAATGCACCTGGGCAAGCAGCGGAAAACGGGCGCTGCACCCAGGTGGGCGACCTGGAAGCAGTTCTGGCTGTTGAGGCCATGTGGGGAGTGAAGATCCATCTCTCTCTAGCTCTCCCCCACCCCAACTCTGCCTTTCAAAGAAATCTTTACACACACCCACACACACAAACGCGTGCGGTAGTCCTGGCGCCGACATCCACAAGCAAACAGCCTGCAGAGAGCAACGGGAGAACAAGCACGCAGCCGCAGCCTCTCCCCACGAAGGTCCAGGCGCCCCGGGAAAACCCTGCGGCCGGACCCCAGCCGCTCCAGCTCAGCGCCAAGCACTGGGACCAGGCAGGCAGGGATGCAGGCGGACAGGACACCAGGAATGACATGGGAGGTGAGCACGTTTCACCTGCAGCCCCAGGGCAAGCACAGGCCCTGCGCTGTCCCAGCACGGGCCGGGAGGACACGCCCAAAGGACAGGGCAGCGCGTGGGTGAGGCAGGAGCAGGAAAAAGGCCACAGAGTGCAGCAGCCACCTGAAATCCGTTCCCATTTCTGTTCAACAAATCCCCCGCGTGGCAGGACACGCAGCTGTCATCAATCACTTTGGCATACGTCCCTCTAAGGCACCTGTCGGGCTGGCAGGGGGACACTCCCACGAGCTCTGCCACCCGCTGCAGCTGGGAGGGACAGGAAACTTGGCCACGTGGGCTATGTTCCTTCGCTTCCGCAGGAGCTGCTGAAACGGTGCAGACAGGGGCTGGGCAGCAGTCGGCCCCAGCGAGCGCACCCAGAGGCAGCCAGCAAGTCATCTCCCCAGTAACAGGCCGGGAGGGCGCAGGCACGGCCAGCGCACAGCCAGCGGGAAGGTGCCCACATAAAACCTGCCCGCTGCAAACACCACACGTGTGACTTTCTAGCTGCATGCTACACGTCAACGTGTCAGTAATGGGAGGCCCTGCAGACAGCTCCCCCCCACAGCCATCAAAGGGAAGCAGCGCCCCATGCAGCAAACACAGCACACAGCCCCCGCCCTGCCCTATCCTACTGAACCCCCGGGACCTTCATCAAGTCTCTGCCCCACCCCCCACTGCCCTGGGAAGCCCAGGAACCCTGAGCAGGGCATGACAGTCGCCCTGCTCTGCACCCGTCTCCTCCTCACGCAGTCCATCCACTCTAAACGCCAGCAAGCAGGCAACGCCCAGGAGCTCCTGTGCACCACACACAACTGAATGAAGGCAAAGCACCCACGGCGAGTCAGAAGTCTCGGAACTGGTGAAACAGAGCACAGTGCCGCACGGCGGAAGTGGAGAGATGGAACAGTTTGGAATGACTTTCTAGCAAGCCTGGGGCCAGCACTAAAGCAGCCCATTGACAAGTGCCGTGAGCCGAGCAGGCCGGGTCCCTGGTCCTGGGGCAGCGGGGCCTCAGGGAGAGGACCTGCTCTGGAGGTGAAGGCACTGCTGAGTGAGACACAAAGGATGGCAGACGTCACCGCTCCCGGCCTGCGACAGCACTGCACTCAGCGATGGCGAGACAGCAGGAATTCCAGGAGCACTGCAAGAATCCTAAGGCTGAAAAACCGGGCACGGCACTGTGGCGCAGAGGGTTAAGCCAGTGCCCG